CTTTACAAATTAGTATCGAAAAAATACTGAGAATTACCAGAGCAAACGTATTACAGCTGAATTCTAACTATAGACTAATTGATGCAGTAACAGAGAGTAATTCTGTCAATTAATGATAAAATAATTAGAAAAATATCCTATCCAGATATTCATAAATATCGGGAATGAGGGTTATCTCTTTTCTGTAGGGTTTTGCTACTTCCTTCTGATGTACTCCACCTTTTATGACTTTTTTTTATCATGAGTCATTATCCATTTTATTGTCCTTTCTGAGTAAAGCATTATAGCCTTTCTTATAAATAGCACTTATAGGCTCTTAATTTTGAATTGCATGCATTTATCGTTAGGTAAATGAGATAAACTGGTTATATTCATCGTATTCCCCCTTCAGTTGTAGTTTAAAGAAATAAAAAGATTTATAATAAATCTTTTTAGATTTAAAAGATTTAATAGTAAAGGAAAATCTTAAATAAAAGATTTCTTTTACCTTTTATTGTTTATCTTCTAATGAAAAATTCTTTTTTTTGGGGGGGGGGAATGAAACAAAAAAAAATTATATTTTTATTTTAAGCGTAAAGCTCTTCCACTTCAGTTAAAAATGATAAATAATTCATAGCACGTATATTGCCACTAAAACTAAATGAACAATGTTATTAAAATTAAACATATTCAAAACAGTACATATTTTTAGGAGTTAAAATATATATGTATCACATTATGGATTGTATTATCTACTTTACATTATTTTAATTAGAAAAAAAAATTAAAAACACGTAAATAAATTAAAATACTTGGCATTGATGAATAATTGAAAATCAGGATATCTTAAATTCGGATAATTTGTTTTCTATTCTCTACTTTAAATAAGTAAAACCTGCAAGAAGTCTTATTTTTTTTTTTTTTTTTCTGTTCAATTCGATGGCAAGGCATTGCTTTTATTTGCTGTTTAAAAGTTTTCAAATTGCAATTTTTTTTTAAAATATTGAGAATACATCTAAAAACAAATAAATATGAGACCAGACATCGCGTAAAGAAATCTGCTATGTAAGTAGGGGTAGGGGGAAGAAAGAAATAGCGTAACATAAGCAGGAAGAAAAAAGAATTACTGAATTGTGGACGGTTATCTTTTTTTGAGATAACTGACATGCTTGAATTGAATGACCCGAAATTCGAATGCATTCTGTGTACGGGTCACTGATTCTAATTGATTCTTTTAGATAAAATGTTAAACCTTACCTGAACCAATTTAATATTTTAGTTCTAAAAAATAGAAAGAATATTGTGACAATAAATATCTCAGTTTTTCATGCATTTGATTTATATTTTGCTACTGAAAATTGTCGCATTTTTGAAAAACATCAGTTTAAATTTTATGGCTGCATTTATACGCGAATTTTTTCTTCAGTAAATATTTTAAGAAGCTTTTGGAGGATATTTGACAATTTAAAAATACACAGACTGATCGATAGCCTAGAAACTTCAGAAAAAGTAAAAAAATATTGGACGTAATGAATGCATAAAACACAGGATGTCTCTGAAAAAATGCGTACATTTCAAGAAAATCACAGCCCCCCACACACACATAAAAAAAGAAAGAAAAATCGATAATAAAACAAATTCGAAATTCAAGATTATGGTTTCTAGGTTATGGTTTCAAGATTATGGTGCCCGTATTGGGATGCAGGACTACGTTACTCAAAATTTGATGGCTCTAGGTGTTGTTGTTTTTTCACAATGCGAGTGAAAGGTGATACAGTCGTTTATAGTGATTCGACGCAAAATGCCGTTTCTAGAATAATAGCCCTTCTGGGCAAATGCCTTTGGGACAAAAAACTGGGAGGTTTCAGATTTTATAGTGCACCCAAAAGGGGCGTTTTTTCCAGTTACACATACATACACGAACCTATAACATTTGGACTAACGCCCCTTTAGACTAAAAATATTTAAAAACAGCAATTTTTGATAGACAGTCTCGCGCGCTGGAGTTAGAAATATTTCATTCCGTACAGTGTGCTGCCACTGCTCCCTATGAAATCGTTGAGTTTCTTAATCAAGAATTCGTTAAAGTTAAAAAAATATGAAATATATGATAAAACAAATTCGAAATTCAAGAATCGGTCTTCTAGGTGCCCATATTCGGATAGGGGACGGCGTTATTAAAAGTTTGACGGCTCTAGGTATTTTTTTTTTTTAAGTGCGAGAAACATACATGCATTCATGCAGATTCTTCATTATTTAATTCTTTAAATATAATACAGGGTGATAATATTTGGTGACAACAATTTGAAAAGTAATACGTACATTTTGCGTGAGATAGTGATCCCACACAAAATGCCGTTTCGAGTCTAATAGCACTTCTGGGCTAACGCTCCTGTGGGCTAAAAGGTTTAGAATTTCCCCTCGTCTTTTGAATTCATCAGAAAATTTACTTTAAATATATGTTCATTCATGGGAAAAATTATGTTTTCTTTCTGCCTTCTCTCTATCCTTTCATCTGTCTTTCTCTTTTATTTAATTTTAATATTATTTTTCCTTCTTCCCGCTGTACGGTAGTTAAAAATATGTCTTTTTAAATACAAATTTGGTAGTGGGAATGTTGTCAGATTCTATCGAAAGATAGTGCTATGTGTCTTAGAGCTTTATCACATATCCCTGTGGTTCGAACGAACAACCGGCTTTATTTTTTGAAAGAAAGACTCACGACTTTATCCTCCCTTCCTCAAAAATTGTGGATTGTACATTTTCACTCTTTTAGCACCAGAATAAAGGACTTGAATGAGAATTCTTTGTTGGTAATCTCAGTGTCTGTAGTCATACTTTGATGCTTTATTGATATTTTGGTAAAGAGAAGATCAGAGCCTCGGTTAAATAATTTTCCACCTGAGGTAAAAAAGTGAATACGCACCCTTATACAAATCCTGTACTTTATTACGAGCTGTGGTTTCGTTTTAAAAATTTTACAGCGTGCTTCTGCTACAGTTAATTAATTAAAATTCAAAATTTATAACAAATCTTAATTTGCACTGATAATCTTATGTAAATGTAACATTCATGTAACCTGAACATGATTTTCGTGTTGAAACCATGTTGACTTTCCTAAATATTATCCTAACATGTATCTTTCATTTTACGACATATTCCTGAGAACGCAAATGTTAGCAGATTACTGAATAACTATTCTATGCTCCTGGATTTTCCGTTTTATGTTCTTGTCCACATTTGGTCCAGTGTGTAATTCTGGAAGTTTGCCTTGATACCGTTTACAGAGAACGGGTTATCTAAGTATGTCTAGCATTCAGACGTTTTCCATGTGTAACTTTATGAAACAAGTTTCTTTAGATTATCCACCATAAAAGCATCCTTCCTAAACCAAATAACCCTGCTTACTTTACTATAATCGATTAATCAGCGAACTAGACTTTAATATTCACACACTTTTCATCAGCCAGATGAATTTTTATCGCAAGAAAGCCAACTAATACATTATACTTGTAGAGTCATTAGGTATTTTCTGGAAGCAGGCAAAATGAAAAGTGAGCAATCGCCTTCGCCAGGAATCGAACCACGGACCTCTGGAATACCGGCCCAGCGTGAAGAACCACTACACCACGAAGGCACGCTAGGAAGGCGGGAGAAATACCTTACATACTCCCCCTTTTAAAGGGCGACTGAGGTTTTTAGGAGACCCAATCGCCAAATCCTGGGTGAGGAGAATCATCATCCAACACCCTTTTAGTTCGGACGCCACTGCAGAGACATTAGGTCACTTGGAAAAGCCGGAGAGATGAAAAATGGGCAATTGTCTTCGCCGGGAATCGAACCACGGACCTCTGGAATACCGGCTCAGCGTGCAGAGCCACTACACCATGAAATCACGCGAGGAAGGCGGGAGAAATACCTTATACTCAACTAACTCTAATTTAAATATGGTAATAGAACGGCAAGAAATATTTTCAATATCTCTTTACAGAACATGAATTAATTAGGCAGGTAGATTTTCATTAAATTATTGATGATTTAAGTTTTAAAAATTAAATTACAAAAAAGTGCGAGTATTAGTGCAGTACATTTGATATTAATTTTACTGCTATTCGTATCATTCCAATGCTATTTGCTACGTATCAAAAAAGTATTTTTAAGATAAATGTAAGTTATTAAAATTACAAATCACTACATGTTCTAATTTTCCGAAAATATATACAGGGTGGTTATAAAAGAACTTTTCTAATGTATGAACCCTTGACGGCCTATTCATTCAACTAATCGAAATAAAATTTCAGATATTGTTATTTGAAGGTACGCGATAAATTCAGAAATTTTCGAATGGCAACACTCTTTTTTTTTTTTTTTTTTTCTCAAATTGTTCAGCGCACTGAGAAAACCATAAATGGCGTTGGAACGATACATGTGTGACGAAAATTCCTGGTGTGAAACATTTGCACAGAAGAGCACTTAATTACCAGTGACAACACCAGGCAGAACATGGGGGGGGGGACTTTCCGTAATTCATATATTTAGTTAAATATAATACAGGAGCTTACTTTGATCTACTACCAGCTTGGTTCTAACTAATGAGGATTGTAACCTTGCATCCTGATAAATACAAAAATTCATTCTTCGAAGATACAAATCGGTTAGAGGTTCACTATGGGCTAAATACGAGTAGCTTGCTGGTTGCCACAGCACTTACTTAAACTACGAATTCGCTTATTATTTAAACTCATATAAATCTGCATTTTGGTTGACGAAAGAAATATAAGGAGTAGAAAGAAACTGACATAAAATTAACTAAAATAAATGTGATATAAAAAATATTACAAATTTTTTCCATCAAACCGTGTTTGTTATGACCCTTATTATGTGCGCTGCTGTGGACCCGCTACATAGCTGTGCCATGCCTTAAAAGTACTTTTATCGAATATGTATTTTGTCATTTTCTCGAAATAGATGATTTCATGAACCTAACAGTAATTTTTGTTTTATTTTCATATTATATGAAGCCGACAGCCGGATTCGCTCGATGACAGCTCCCAGTTCCGTCCGCCACAGCTTGGTGCATAGTCGGGAAAGCGTTCACAGCAGGTAAGCTAATCGCCTGTACATACTGAGATAATATATTATTCTCGGCGAAATGATATGTGCGGTAACAAGAGGCAGATGGGCTGAGTATTATGAAGAAGGTTTAAGGTGAACATGCATTTCTTCTAGTAAGCTTTTGGAGTCTGCATTCCTCGAAATTTGAAGCAATTAGTAATAAGAAATTTTAAGAAATACATCCATTCTCACAATGCGTATAGGTTATCGTAAAATATTGTTAAAGATATAGTAAATAAAACGATAAAAATATGTAAAATTATTAATACTGCAAATGAGTATTTAATTTAAATTAAAAAGACGTAAGTATAACGTATTAATTACTTAATTATTATTTCATTTAAATTAAAAAGGTATGAATTATTTAACCATTATTTAATTTAAAAGATATTAATTATTTAATCATTATTTTAATTTAAATTAAAATATTGCAGATCTCGTTATTCAACTGCAGAAGTGTACTATTTTCGAATGGACTTCTGCAGCTGAAGAAGGAGGTTCTGTTTTAAACCTTCGAATCTATTCCTGAAAATTTATGGATATTACGCTGATTCTAGTTGCATTAACTCTTCCAATAAGCATATTCGTTATTTAATAAAACATATATTAATGCAAAAATTTGCCACCTTTTTTTCGTGTTACATTCTGTCTTTATGATCACCGAGTTTTATTCTCCAACTATTTCCTGTTTTGTGAGAATTCTATCTGATGAAGATGCAATAGTGATGAAAGGAAATGCTTCCTCATTTTTGTCACTTTTGCGGTTGCCGTTTGGAACGGGTTTTCTAACACCCAACAGTAATGTAATCTCTTCGCCTGAAATGGAGCAGTTTATTGACTGCTAATTGCAATAGGCGTGGGCAGAACATTCCCACTGAGCTTACTGTGCGTTGTTTTCAATGCTGATCATTGTTGCGGTTCTTTGTTGAGCCTCAAACTTGTCGGCAATACACAAGGCTTAAAAACTTAAGCCTTGAATCTGCATAGCATTTTATTATTACAATATTACCCTGTTATATGGCTGTTGGCTTTGTTGAATCGTCTGTTATGCAGTTGCTGTTTAAAATCACGTGCAAATAATGCAATCTGGAAATAACGATCATAACAGCAAAGTATTTACTCTTTTAGAGTTAGCAAGCATTTTTTGAAAAGCACGATCTGGAAATAACATAGCTGCCTATCTGACACTTTAAAGGAATCTTGTTCTCTGCGAATTGCAAAGATATCCACTGTGAATTTTACAGGAAAAGATAAAAACAGTTAAAGATAAATTGAAATCTAGGATATATTTCTAATTATTAATAACGTAAAAATGTACATATTTACATAATATGTATATATATGAGTACGATATGAATTTGATGTACTTATATATGAAAACAAACTACACGTACTTCCATTTGTTGATATTTTAGGGTTTGTTATGTGGTTTTTACTGCTAGCATTCATTGACCATTTTTCTTCATGTACGCGGGTTTTTTTTCTTATTTTCACCCTCGATCCAGCATGCCCTCGTGGTTTAACGGTAGCACACTCGGCGCATATTCGAGAGGACTAGGTTCGAGTCCCGGCGAAGGCTTTGCTCATTTTTCATGTCTCCTGCTCAAAAAAAAAAAAAAAAAAAAAAAAAAAAAAACCTTATATCTCAACAATACTACATGAATATCCGATTCATTTAGATGTAAATTCTAGTGTAACGTAAATGGTCTCATAACGTGGATTAATTTTTTTTTTTTTTTTTCTCGACTGCTACATTATAACGAGAAAACTGCATGTGGGTTATATACTATAGACCAGTGGTTCCTAATCCTTTGACTGACGGAGTCCTTTTTAGACTTACTTTGTTTAGCGGAGCCCGATGGGTCCATCCTACGTCTTACAAGTTAATGATGTTTAAGATTTCTTTTGCATGAGTTAAAAACAAATCCAAAAAATAGCTATCTTCGAAATCAATTAAAACAATTCGTTCGGTGATTCAGATTCAAAACAATAGACGTTAAAATAGCTATCTTCGAAATCAATTAAAACAATTCGTTCGGTGATTCAGATTCAAAACAATAGACGTTAAAATGTCTCACTCTTATTTGCAAGTTGATTTTAGTGAAATGGAGCATAAATTCTCTCTTGGTGTAAATTATGAGCTCCGGCGATTCCTTCGCAGATTTTTAATACATCTGATTACAATCAAATTCTGACCCTAACTCGGAGACATAGCGGAAGTAGAGCGTCTTCTATAGGCGTTTTACAACAGGGTAGGTTAGGTTAGGTTATTTGAATATTATGGCAAAGCAAAAGGGCGCTATCAGTCTATTACCAGGGTAGAAAAAAGGTTTTTTAGGGAGTTCTATCTAATCATTTTTGAAGTCCATGAAAATTTTAAAATTAATTAAATTATTTAATTTATTTTTAAAAATTTTTAAATATATTATTTTTAAAATTATGAAGTTTACCGTATCTCAATTCATTGTCAACATGAGATTGTCAAAAGTTAGCCATGCATAAATGTTCTTCCAAAATTAATAAAACTTATCAGTTTGTCTTACAATCTACATCTTAGATTATTTCTGAGAGCATCTGTAGAGTCGTTACAATAAATTTGATCATTACGTGCAGTTCAAGTCAATTCAAACATATATTTGTTCCTTACTTGTAATTTGAAATTTTATCAGACTTTGTAGAAGACATTTGCAATTTAATTTCGTTATGATTCTACTATAGCGCACTGCAGACCTCAAGACATAAGACACCAAAAAAGAAAATGTTTAATGACCCACCATTAATTTTATTTTAGTGCACAATTAGTGCACGTGTCAAGGCCTCGAGACAAAATCCTTGCTTCAATGGGCAGCAGGAGGGACTCGTGGTGGATCCCCATATTATTCACATATTACTATATAGAATAGATGAGTCTGCCCTGAAGAGGTTGCGATTTCATACAGTTTATTATTTTTACTATGAGCTGTATTAATGAGCACTTCCTTAGTTACACAAATAAACTCATAAAGAAATAAAATGCATAGAAATCCCGTGGAAGAACTTCTAAGAAAACACGATATTTTCGTTCTGAAATTTCATTGAACTGATTTCGAATCGATAAGCCACCTGAATTTACATCAGGCTAAGATTCGAGTGGATATCAAAAATTCTTGAAGAATCGAGAAGCTTCTAGAATGTGTAGTTCCATGTAATAGCCACTCATCATCTGATAGGGGAACACAAAATTTAGCTTGGCAAGTTTCCGCCTTAAAAATTGGATTTCTAAATTTCTGTTTTTGACCGCACTCTTTGTTCTTATTCTTCAATTTCATTCACTTTTTGTTTATTTTATTTTCCTGGAGCGGCCGAGTAGACTCTGAGAAGTGCAGCCAGAGCCCTTATGGCTTCGCGGTGCTCAGATTGGGAATCGTTGCAATAGGCTCATGCAATTAAATTATTCTACTTACATAAAATCATTTGAAATTTAATAAAATTTTTGAAATTGTATATGTGCTTCACACCCAGGTATAAGTATTCAAACAGTAATTATAACGTACATTTTTAAGACAACAGCATTTAATGTAAAGAACTGAAAATGTACGGGAAATATACCGTATTTTCGGAAGCGTAAGTTTTTTATAACATAAGATGTTTTAATTTCATAGAGAAATTGTGGGAGACGAATCGTAGTATGAGAGATCTCGAGGACAAAAACGTAAGAAAATAACAAATAAGCTAGAGTAATTAATGTTATCACAAGGTATTTAAAAGACCACAGGAAAGGGTATGTTGTGTTCTACCAAACCTTGTAGGCAGGTGTGTGTTCCATTGTCACATTGCTCGCTGTCATTGTTAGGTGTCATCGAAATTGTGACCTGAAAGGAAGTCTGGTAGTTCCACAAAGAATCTTGTTCTCTGTCCCACGGATGTTTTCTTTTTCCTCCAATTCCACATGAAGAGTCATCAATTAAGGCAATGTGGACAAACCCAAAAAGCTGCCAGTTTGCGAGTCGGTTGAAAGAGCGATCGAAGTCGACAGCATTGGAGGACACCCAACTTAGCTGCAAAGTGCGTCTTTTCAGAGTAGAAATTCTCAAAAGAAGCTGTTCTGCAAGTGATTGCTGAAAGAATATTCGATGAATTCTTCTTTCCTGCATCCAAAATTGTTACATTTTTTATAGTAATCCATAATGGCGAGATATCCTCGTACGTGTATACAAATAATATGAAAAAGCAAACAGTGAGCAATACCGCACTTAATCGAAAGTACGACCTCCCTTTTTTTTTTTTTTTTTTTGCTATATTTTTGTTTGTAGAGTTTCCCACTCTATAAATGCTAAGTTACAGCTGAACGTGAAGAATCTTAAGAACTGATAAGCGAATAATCGCTTGAGTTCGTATGACAAGAAACAACAAGATGTAAGGGTCACCAGAACTCCGCCTTGGAGTGTACAATAAAAGCCGACACTTGGGCTTGAACTTAAGAGGCTAAGAAGTAAACTAAAACTAATCTAAGAGTAGCCGACTAATAAAGAGATATAGCCGAAGCTATCAAGATTTTAACCGAGTTGGCTCCTTAACGCTAACTGACTGCGAAGCTATCAAGGGCCTAAGCACGGCCGAGCGTAATAATAGCTTACGAGAGAGTAGCCTAAAGAGGCGGACGCGTGCAGGCAGAATACCTGGTAACTCTCTCGCTAAGACAGAAGAATTTCGCGGTTAAATACCGCTCTTTCTCATTATGTATTTAGACGTGATTCTAAAACTACGTTCTGGCCGGAAGTAGTAAGTTGAAGTTAAGAAGCGACAGGAAGGGAACTTAAAATTTAACTGTTAATAAAATTAACATAATTCTTACATGTTTTAAAATAGGAAATAATAAATTCTAGAATTCATTTACTTTGATAAATAAATTCCAGAATGAGAGGGAAGCATATGGTTATCGATACTACATAGAATAATTACACTGTTTAAATACTAAATTATATAAACCACGTAGGTAATTAATTACC